TTGAACTTGTTATACAGACCATTATACGACGGATTAACTGACCAACTTGACGTGGCGCTGAGGGATGTTGGCTGGCTGAAGACCAGCTCGAGTACAGACGCCACGATGAAGTGATGGGCGTTGCAAATTGTCAGGCTTGTGTGTTTGTGATTATTCAACGTAATTATTTGCAACTTCACGCGAGTTACTACGTTATAAAAGGCATATCTATAGTATGACGCGAGGTGAAGAGTAGAGGTGACCATAGTTTTGATGCACGCGCTGTGATGATGAAGGGAAGAGATGGATGAGAGAAGGGGAAGCGATGGACGGACGAGTGTAGTCCGCTAAATTACCACAAGTCATTTACCAATAACATTTTGAAAAGATCTTCCCATCAAATGTAATACTACTTTCATTACCACACAAAATGAAATCCTAATAAAGCCACCACCTAAGCTGTGCTAAAACCTGCAACCGCCTCCACAAAATCTCCTCAAGACTCGTTTCTTCGTTCATAGAAAACTATTTACAGATGCAAATTTCCGGTACTCAAAACAGAGCAAAGCTCCAGTGTTTGACCTTCGATCATATCCAGTGCAGCGTTAGAAAATCGCGTAACGAGTGCGTCTTCGTCAGCGTTCTGAGTGCATATCAGTACTGTGAGTACCAGCAACCAAGAATTCATAGATATCACTGCCGTTCAAAACGGTCAGGACGCTCAAACCGCAGCCGCAAAGTATAAACGCACGCTAATGGCAGCAACCACAAAGAGGAACAAACTGAATCATCTCCCCAAGCTCCACCTGGGCGGAATGGACGAAATGGATTGCTGGCTTTTCCTCTTCGAGAGCTCTCCCGCTGTTACCCTAGCTCCTCAAATTTTCGATCATTCCGAAACGCTTGTATGGTGAGGCTAAGTGCTGGTCTTTCCGCCAACTCTATCAATCCTGCAGTTCACAAAGTTCAGTGGCTATCCAGTCACCTAATTTGGTTGGGACTTTTATCAGATTCACCAGCTTTCCAAAGGCGATTTACACGGACGCAGTCTTTCGGTACACGGCACATCTCGGCGATGGGGAGGGCGTGGCTGCGCACTTCATTCAAATATGGCATAGTATGTTAGCTCGTAGGATCTCTTCTTAGAGAGACTGTTAGGATCTCTTCTTAGAGAGACTGTTATTCTATCACGTAGTGAACAAAGGACAATTAATGACCGTATACCATCGGAAGCGCAGCCGCCACCACTTTCGAATAAAGCGACATGTAACCACGCTCCCCCATTTCCGCATATGGACCGCATAGTTTAGACCACTGTCAACGATGACAAAGGCTGCTACCGTATACGGTCTACACCCCAAACGAGTGCCTAAGCCGCGCTGAAAAAATCTCCCTAGGTTTTTCCTAAAAACAGCCTGAGACACACGATGACAGACGGTTGTAGGCTGTAGCACTTCTTCAAAACAGTTCATTGAACCATTTAATTCTTCCTTACTTCAAAAAGTCATATTAAGAACTTATAATCCTACTTCACGAGGATGAGAAAGCCGAATGCAACTGTAGCGATCACATAAGATGACACTCACATTCACTACAGCAGAGTTCGACTTTACCATACCGTTTTTGAGCCTTCTTTTGGCCACTTAGCAGTAACTGTACCACACTTTTATCTCCCTCTTTTTGTCTACAGGTAATAATGAGAAATACTGTACCTGCTTCGACGTCCGCCATATCCACCGAGACCACCTCCACGACTTCTACCATGAGACATCTCAACACGAGCACGCACACCACAAATTCTTCTGCAATGTTTTTATTAAGGAAAGAGCGCATCAAAGGCACACCCCGGGTTTAAAAATGGTGCTCTGGGCAGCTCAAACAGCAGTGACAATAAGGCCAAATAACACTAAAGTGAGGAAAAAAGTAGGGAGAACTCTCCCAAAACCCACCTTAAAGAACCTCATGCCGAACCGCGTTCATACGTGCTTAGTGAAGGAAGGGCGTGGTCTGACGACTTCTCACTTGATGGTGCCAGCTCTTTGCTTCTTATTACCTCACTGGCACCATTCAAAATGGACAATCATCAGAGGAAAAACCGCACAATCAGACAGCGATCAGAAATGAAAGTTGGGCGTGGATTCCGTCGCGCGCGGGCGGCGCTTTCCTAACGTATTTCCGAGCTGCAAACGCTGCCCACCCCCATGCTTGCTGACAGGACTGCTATGGTCAAGGAGACCGACTGCACATCAAATGAACGCGATGCGTGATTTGAGCAGAGGAAGTCTAGTAAAGATAATTCAGTTACTTAAGACAAGTGGATATAGAAAACATGTCCCAAAAAAGGCCACTTACGTCCCGTCCAGAGCCTTTACCGCATCTTCAGCATCTCTACTGTCTTCGAACTCCACAAATGCAAAACCTGGTGGACGACGTGCAACCCACACCTTACGTATACGCCCAAAACGGTAGAACGCATCCTCGAGCTGAAAATTCTTGCTTCAAAAATACTCGTAAATAATAGAAATTCCAAGTCTCCTACTCAGAATGGATAGGGAATTCAGAGAGAAACTATGTCGAAGTTAAAGCTATTGGCCGTGACTCGAAAAAGACTGCTCACCTCTTGCGATGTAGCGTCGTTAGGAAGTCCTCCAACGTAGACCTTACAATCCATGTTTGCTCTGTAAATCAAAACTCAGAATACCTCGCGCATTTCACAAAAAAAACGCCAGCGATAGAGAACCCTTTCTCGAAAGAATAAGTGGTACTGTCCGACGAAAGAGAGGCATGTTGCACTTTCGCTGCTTCATGGCCGGTTTAAACGTCGTCGATGGGACGGGAAGTAGCAAAAGTGTGAAAGCTGCTCCCAGAGCTGCATTGAACAAGAAAGTCTGAATGCCAAACGCAACGACGGGAAGACCTCGTACGATCGGCATTACTTTCTAAAAAAAACGTTGGTGCCTGCGTGGGTATGGACGCAGATAACTAAGTGCAATTTGCAATTTCGAAATTGTCCGTTCGCTTGACACTTTTCGAAAGCAGTTTCTTGTATATACTCCTCTAACACTACTCATATCTGCCCGAACCCGTCGTGCCGTTCGTTTAGGGTACGGGTCGCGCTATGACTATGAAATTCGGTTGTTCAGTTTGCTGAACGGTATATAAACCGTAAAAGTTTGTTAGAGATAGGTCAATGATTTCAATCCACGTGGGGGACAACTTTTGAATACTCTATTGGTTAGATTTCAAAGTTACTTGTTTTAACGATTTTCAGTGGGGAAGCAGCTTCCATGCAGCAACCTAGTTAATGCCGCCAGGTGATTCAACCAGCGCCACTTAAGAGCTTCACGTGGAAGCAATTTCATGTACTTCTTTTTGACCACTTTCTTGGCATTTCTTGACCATACCAGGAAGAGGTCGAAAGAAAAATTCATGAAACTATTCCGAGGGTCAAGGATCACCGACGGCGTTGACCATCACTGCATGGAAGGTCATCGGAATTGAGCGCTGAAATGTAACCACAAGAATTAGGGTAATTCAAATTGTTGTCGCTCGGATATTCAAATCACTGATCTACTAATTACCTTTTTTGGCATTTCCGGAGCCATGTAGCAAAGAGCTTTAGTTCCTAGTCCTCAAATTACGCAAGAAACCGCTACGTTCTGAGCAACCCTGTGTGGATGTTACTGACGGAGGCTATGTAGAGGAAGTTAATAGGAAACATAAAGATGTGCTAGCAGACGAGTCTCAGACTGACGAAGCAGTGCAGCCCGATGCAAAACGCATCGAACACAATACCCAAACGATAAAGCTGAGCACTGTTGCAATACTAACAACAAATCGCTAATGTATGCACGATGTAAACGCGATACAGAGTTGATAACGTCGCAATCAGCTGGGGAGGTGTCAGGAGGGGTGGAATGAGCCCACCTTTGGCTGCTTTGCAGCTGATGGATAAGTCGGTTGAAGAAGAAAACAACTAGCACTGAAGAGGCCTGTAGTTTTCTTCCTAACCGATTTCTAGGGAATTCACTCCTTCCTGCCTGAAACCGCCCGAGTGACTGCAACTGCGATAAATGTGCTCATTAGTTATGGGAGAGCGGTGCCCTCGCGACTTCGGCGACTGGAAGACACGTTTCGCAATCAACTCATCCTTTATGAGTGTACGACAAGGGGTCTGCTGCCACACAGGGTGTCTGCCTCGGCGCCTAGAAAAGTGCATTGTGTTGTAAGAACGTTCATGTATGGTTTATGACTGCAGGATGCGGTCCCTCAGCCGACTCTGTCAGCATACGAAATAGCGGGACTGCTCTGCACTTATAGGTTCCATGCGCGCCTCTCGCTTGCCAAGGCCTGGCTGTCGCTCCGGTCAATGTTTCTCTGAACTTCGCTTGACTGTGCGCTCCTCAAATGGTGTAAATAGGAGAGGATTTGTGCAGCTCCGTGGCGGACGTACGAAACATACCAAAACAAAAGAAGAATAGCCAGCAGACTTCTCATAGATAGCATTTTTCATCCACACTCTAAAGTTTAGGTGGAAAACGGACCCACCGATTTTTTCCATCACATTGGGTGTGAAGAGACCCGTATTTGACTCACCTCGAGCAACTATCAAACATAGGGCTCGCGTCCAAAAATGATGAACTATGTCTCAGATAGTAATAATCATATTTCAAGGATTTACAGGAAGAAAAACAGGACAAAATCATGGGAAATGCCTCATGTAGAATCCCACGCCGAATGGAGGTTGTACGTGTATAAGGCCAAGAAAGTGTGTGATCGGACGAGTTTTCACTTGTTCCTGCCTAGCTCTTCTCTCCTTATCACCTTACGGTGATTATACGAAGTGGACAGAGTTAGAAGCGGTAACTGTAAGGAATGAACACTGGCGGGACGGCGCCATCCGCCATCCTTCTAGGGCAACCACATCCAAAGAAAACGTGAGAACATGGAATGAACGCACGCTCTGCCTGACAGTTACAACTGTGACGAGAATCAAACCGATGTCGGCAAGCTGCTCCATTCTATGGTTTTTTTACCTTTTCGTTTGCCCGTAACTTTCGATCTAACGCTACCCGACTGACTAGCTGCTACAGTTCGATACTTCTATAAAAGGTCCTAATGGTAAGCACAGTGAGGGCAGCCATGCACCGTCTGATTACTTTGCGAGATTAACTAGAAAAAAGTGTGGGCTATGGATTGGATAACAAACCACTAACTTCTCCAGCACCGCTTTCGGAGAGTGCGCGAATTGAGAGAATGAGATCGAAATCGGATTGAATGAGAATTAAGGAACCCTCCTGCTGGGAGTAGGGAAAATGTGCGTACTCCAACTCCCCGATTGGGCAGTCAACCGATAAGTATTCACTCTATTGTCCAGATCAACGCGAACACTTTTCACGATTCTTCCGACTCCGATTGAATGACATGGGAGCAGCTTAAGAGTTAGGAGAGTCGTAGAGATTGTCATGCGGTGGAAAATAATACGCGTGAACTTTAAGGTCATTCTTAGGCCGCGTCCATACCCAAAGATTCGGCGAGATCTGCGGAAAAATTATGCATACTTTTAATTTGGAGAATCCTCACAATGCGTGTAGATGGAAGGACTGCCCAAACCGCCGAAGAAAACATGATAAATTGACTGTTAGCTTTCGCCCTCTATGTTTTTCTTCAGCTCTGTGGATTCTTCAGATCGCTACGTATGCGTTATTCGGCCGCAGATTCTGCGCACAGGGACAGCATCGTTGTGTGAGACACATGGGGAGAGGGCGGTCGTACTTGACCGCTGGGATGGGGGAAGGGTCGTATTTGGTCGTTGCTGGGACTCCCCAATATGGCGATCTATGGATTCCGTGGTATCAGTGTGTACGACGCGGCCTTAGGCTGCGCTTATATTAGGTTGTCCGGAAAGTTCTCAGCGTTTTGTACACCTATTTTTTGTACATTCACTGCTGATTAAAAACTCATTCTGCCTTGCTTCTCAGTAGCACATCCTGTAGAGAATTTCTTGCGCTATCTGATGGTATAATTGCCGTTTCACCATTGCTTGATAAACCCCCTTTTTTCAAGATTTTTTCAAGCATGTGAAAAGAGCACTTCGGACGATTTTTTCTTCGACTATAAATTGGGGCAATCCGCAATCGAAACAGCTCAACAAATTAACCAGGTGTGGGGGCCCAATAGTGCTAGAGAAAGCACTGTGCGGCAATGGCTCAACAAATTTCGTTCTGGAGATTTCAGCCTTGAAGATGAACGGTCGACCTAAAGCAATATCTGACGAGGATTTTAGGGGGATTTTGGAGGCTGACCCATCCCAAACAGTTCGAGAGATAGCAGAAGAGCTAGGCCTTGGCAAATCCACTGTTGCAGATGGTCTGGAACGCATTGGGAAGGTGAAAAAACTCGACAATTGGGTGCCCCACAATCGGAGTGACCGGCAGGAATCGGCACGTCTCGAGGTTCCTTCTGCATTGCTTTTGCGCAGCAGAAACGACCTGTTTTTGGGCCGAATTGTCACCTGTGATGAAAAATGGGTCATGTATGATAACAGGAGACGTTCCGGACAGTGGTTGGATTTCGACGAACCACCGAGGTAATTTTCAAAGCCGAACCCTCACGAAAAAAAGATTCTGGTCACGGCTTGGTGGTCATCGGCTGGTGTGATAACTTTTTATCACCAGGCCAAACCATCACAGCAGAACCCTACTGTGAAGAAATCGACGAATTGTACCGAAAATTTTGTCAGATGCAGCCAACACTTATCAAAAGAAAGGGTCCGATTCCTTTGCATGACAACGCCCGCCCACACGTTTCACAAATCACTATCCATAAATTGAACGAATTGGGGGTTGAAGTTCTACCTCAACCGCCATATTCTTCAGACCTTTCGCCAACCGACTATCACCTTTTCTAACATTTTCAGAACTCCCTTGCTGGAAAATACTTCATCAATCAGGACCAGGCAAAAAAGCCTTCGTGGATTTCGTGAATTTTCGACCACCCAGTTTTTTACTTTGATGGGATTTCTCGACTGCTGTCACATTGGCAAAAGTGTGCTGATTCGAATGGTGCCTATTTCGATTAAATCCGATGAGTATTAAAAAAGTTACGATCGTTTAAAGTGAAACACCCAAAACGCTGAGAACTTTCCGGACAACCTAAGGCTGCGTTTATACTTTGCGGCAGCGTAGCGTAGCGTAGCGCAGCGCTTCCAGCGTACGCCAGCGGCAGTGCCGAAGAGAGGATGCATATCGATCTAGCGTTCCCAGCGT